TCCTCATTACTTATGCTATGTCATACCTGTCTAGAAGACAAATTTAGCAAGCTCCCTTTTCCAAAGCATGTCAATAAGTCAGTCATTCCTTTTGAAACTATTCATACAGATTTGTGGGGTCCTGCACCATGTATATCAGTGGATGGTTATAGATATTACACCATCTTTATAGATGAATGTACCAGATATTGCTGGATTTTCCCTTTAATAAACAAGTCTGATTTGTTCTCTACATTTGTTGCTTTTCATTCCTTTGTTGTTACTCAGTTTTCTGCCTCAATTAAAATTCTTCAATCTGATGGGGGGGAGAGTATACCAGTCTCAAATTGAAACATTTTCTTCTTGACAAAGGCATTTCACATCAATTATCTTGTCCCTATACCCCTGAACAAAATGGGGTAGCTGAAAGGAAGCATAGACATATCATTGAAACCACTATCACACTGCTCCAAACAGCCAAGTTGCCACATCAGTTCTGGTCTTATGCTTGTCAAACAGCCACCTATCTCATCAATCGAATGCCTACTGTTGTCCTTCATAACCAATCTCCTTTTGAGATCCTATTTGGGACATATCCAATACTTACACATCTTCGAATTTTTGGATGTGCTTGTTTTCCCCTTCTCAAACCCTATAATAGTACCAAACTACAAGCAAAAACCACAAAGTGTGTGTTTCTAGGGTATGCCACAAAATATAAAGGTTATCTATGCTATCATGTGTCTACAAAGAAAGTGTTTGTTTCTAGGCATGTTATCTTTGATGAACAACATTTTCCCTACACAGATTTATTGACTGCATCTTCCAACACAGTTTCCACTGCACATAGAGTTGTATATCCATCTCATAGTTTCAATTGTCATGCCCCTATAGTTACTCCCGAAAATAGAATTGTCTCATTTATCCCAGAATCACCTCATCAACCTTCTGCCTTGGATTTACCTGAAGTCTCTCCAAGTTCTCAGTCCATTACTGCTCCAATCCAAGTCTCTTCTCAGATCCCTGTGGTACCTGATATCAGTTCCACTTCTGCATCAGAAATACCTATTTTTAATCCTGATACTCTGTCAGTAGTGTTGCCCATTCCTCCACTTAATTTGCATCCTATGCAAACCCGAAGCAAAAGTGGGATTTTCAAAAAGAAGGCTCTCTTAGCCAGTGTTCAGGATTCTGGGGGCACTGATCTATCCTTGGTGGAACCAGCTAGTTATAAGTCTGCCATCAAAGTACCTATGTGGTTAGCAGCCATGAAAGAAGAAGTTAATGCTTTACATGCTCAAGGCACTTGGAGTCTAGTTCACTTACCAGCAAACAAGAACCTGGTTGGCTGTAAATGGATTTTCAAGATTAAGAGACACTCAGATGGGTCTATTGCAAGACACAAAGCCCGGTTAGTTGCTAAGGGCTTCAGTCAAGAACCCGGATTGGATTATGGGGAGACTTTTAGCCCTGTAGTGAAACCTACTACTGTACGGTTAGTTCTTGCTCTGGCTGCTCAGTTTAATTGGTCTCTTCGCCAGTTGGATGTTAAAAATGCGTTTTTGCATGGACTTCTACAAGAGGAGGTCTACATGTCTCAACCTCCAGGTTTTGAAGATCCAAATCATCCTTCTCTCGTGTGTAAGCTGCATAAATCTCTCTATGGTCTCAAGCAGGCTCCTCGGGCCTGGAATGACCGCTTTACTCAGTTTCTTCCTTCTTTGGGATTTGAGAACACATATTCTGACTCATCTCTATTTGTTAAGCATGTTGGTCATGAAATTGTGGTGTTGCTTCTCTATGTGGATGACATCATTATAACTGGCAATGCTTCTGATGCAATTACACAGGTCATTAATGCTCTCACCACTGAGTTTGATATCAAGGACTTAGGCCTACTCCACTACTTCTTAGGGATTCAAATCACTAAGACTGCACATGGTTTGTTCCTGTCCCAAACCAAATATGTTGAGGATTTGTTGGTTAAATCTGAAATGATTGAAGCCAAACCGTGTGATACCCCATGTCTTCCTTACAACAGGTTATTGAAGGAGGATGGGGAACCTTATTCCAATCCTACGTTGTATCGAAGTCTTGTAGGAGCTCTTCAATACTTGACTTTCACACGGCCTGACATTGCTTTTTCTGTGCACCAAGTGTGTCAGTTCATGCAGAATCCAATGGTGTCCCACTTTACTGCGGTTAAACGCATTTTAAGATATCTGAAGGGCACAATGCAGTTTGGTATATCATATACTAAAGGAGATTTGCAGTTGAAGGCTTTTAGTGATGCTGATTGGGCAGGGGACCCTAATGACAGGCGATCTACTACTGGTTTGGTGGTCTTTTTGGGTAATAGTCCGATTTCCTGGTCCTCTAAGAAGCAACAAACTGTTTCTCGATCCTCAACCGAAGCTGAGTACCGAGCTTTATCGTTTACATCTGCTGAGTTGGATTGGATCAAACAGTTGTTAGTTTTTCTGCACATTCCCTTACCTAGTGTGCCTGTCCTCTTTTGTGACAATCTGTCAGCCATTGCCTTGTCTTTCAACCCTGTCCAGCATCAAAAGACCAAGCACATCGAAGTCGACGTCCATTTTGTTCGCGAAAGGGTCTCACAGAAACAACTATCCGTGCAATTTGTATCTTCTCAAGAGCAGTTTGCCGATATTCTTACCAAGGGCTTGAGTGGTCCTCTTTTCCGAACTTATTGCCGCAATCTCATGCTTGGTTCATCACCGCATGTTCTTGAGGGGGGATGTTAGAGTATAGTGTTTTAATATTGTGACACTTGTCACAATCCTAGTATAGTTAGTTAGTTAGCTGTTATATGTAATAGTATATATATAAGAACTTATCATGTAATTACTTAATCATTAAGAAATACAACAGATAGTTCTTCTCTTCCTAAACTTCTCTCTAGTCTCTCTTTCTTTCTTCTCTGTTCTTGATTCAGTATACAAGATTACAGTATATGTTAATCATCTGATATAGGTTAACAGGCTTCACCTCACGCCTTAAGGCTTTCGTCTAAGCCGAGCTATACATGAAACGCCTTGCCGTTTAAAATTTTGATCTCAATTCATTAACCATTTTGTCAAATCGACGTTAAAGTAAAAAGGTGCATGAACATTTCATCTTTGACACCACCTTTCACCCTCATCCTGCCTGTTTAAACAATTCCAATTCCATTTTTCACAACTGTAGCTCAAACGCTCAGTTATCTTAAAGCGGAGCAGTTAATATCGGAATGTCAGACTAAATATGTATCATATATCAACGACACGATGGGGTTAGACGAGTAATGTGGCTCAATGATGGGGATAGACACTCGGGTGCCTACGCCGACGAAACAAAGCGAGGTACATCATCTACATTTCCCGACACAAACCTCGCCAATACGTACTTCTCCACATCTTCAATCTCCTTCATTAATCCTTCAACATCAAAACCTAAACAACAGAACACCTTCCGAATCAATCTCTTCACGAAACTGAAACAGAGGACGGTTTTGGCAATCATTTCTGAAGGTCATCCCATCTTGTTCACTAAAAGATCCATTGCTAGCATTAGTTTCTTCTCGGGCACAATCATACACCACGGTGCCGCCTCAGAGCAGAGAGAACATCATCCTCGGACAAACCCCACCTCTTAGAAACTTGGCGACTTTGATTCCATACAGACCATAATTTGATAAGGCAAGTGCTGAAAATACAGCTCAAGGGAATCAGAATGGCACAATGATACTTACCCAGGCCATGGCCACTGAGAAAAGGCTAGCTTCCATAGGCACTTATTAACAGACTAAAAAAGAAGAAAGTATTTATATCATCAAGTTACTAGCCGCAGATAGCGATTGGATTCATTGGGGAGATTCTAACAAAAATCTTCCCCATCATTGGTATCAGACTAATGCAGACAGCAATTGGAGTCGTTTATCCACACAGAAAGCGATTTCCAATTACTCTGCATTACAAATCTTATCAAAGCCTGATCTTTTGTCCCATGGAAAACGCAATAATCAGCGACAAGAGCTGCATTTTCCTGTTTAATAACGCAAGCTATGCATAAATTCTTACAAACACAAGGGAACCACAATGACAGTGATACTTTACCCAGCCATTGCCACTGAAAACTAGGATACTGCTTGTGGAGGAATATCATTAGACATTAGCAGAGCATAACAAAGACAACTCGCAGACAGTCAATGATATCCGACACAACTTATAATGTGAAAATTCAGACAAGTTGCTTTCGTAATTATCATCTCCATAATAGATTATAATGTGTACAATCTACTGAAGGCAGTTCCCAGACGAACAAACTCAAGAACCATCTACAGTTGAAGGCACCACAACCACAGAGCAGCGCATGTCATCATCAAGCTGTTTTCAGATAAGTTAACAAGATAATGCATTGTTAATTTGTTACACCTGGACCTCTACTTTTCCTTGATAGACACTCCCTAATTGAGGTACTTTGTCCTAATTTAGGTACTTTGTCTATACACTTGGAGTTTCCATCAAAATAGGCCAAAGGGAATTGGACAAATTCAGCTGCACAGCTCCTAGCTAGTTCCTTACCATGAAATCTAACCCTTGCACATGCCACTTATTTCCCTCCAAAGCACAAAGAACTCGAGCGCACGCGCGTGCGCACACACACACACACAACCCTTCCACATGCCACTTATTTTCCTCCAAAACACAAAGAACGCCTCCGCGCACACACACACAACCCTTCCGCATGCCACTTATTTTCTTCCAAAGCACAAAGAACGAACGTGCGCGCACCTATGATGCATGGACACGGACACGGATACGGGGATACGACACGATACGACACGGGGATACGTCAAATTTCAAAAAATAAGGATACGATACGTCAAGGATACGGCAATTAAAAATATGTATAAATAAATAAATAAATAAATAAAAATATATCTAAAACATTATAAAATAAGCATTCAAATTTATTATTCAATAAACTCTAAACTGTTAGAAAGATAGTCCATCCAACAAGCAATTAGTCTTAAACTTGAAAAAGTAAAAAGAACATCCAAATGAAATTAACAAAAAAAAAAAGTCTCATTCAACTTCCACGTTCATGATGTCTCCTCCAGTAATCAAAGTAGTCTCCAATGACGGTTCATCAAGTGAAAGGTTAGCAAAATCAAGCATCCCGACACTTTCTTCACCCAAGTTTTCGAAGCCATCTCCTCCAACATCCCACAATTGACTAATACCTTCTTTGTAGGTTGCGCTATTCCTTGATAAAAGACGAAGATTATTATGCACAAATACCAAATCCTCGGCTCTTTGTGGTGTAATCTTGTTCCTTCTTAGAGAGTGAATAAAACTGTAAGTGCTCCAATTTCTTTCACAACAAGAGGAGGAACAAGGTTGTCCAAGTAGCTTCAACGCTATGGATTGGAGACTAGGTGTAGAAGCTCCATGGACAATCCACCACATTACTGGTTCCAAATGAAACCTATCATTCATAGAATCAATAGCTCCAAAGTCATTCAAGCACATAGAGAAAGAGGCATACTCCACATTGATACTTCTTCTAATTTCCTCATTGGAAAAGTATCTCTCAAAACACTTTTTCCTTTCAGTTGTAAGCTCAACATCTCGGTGTGGAGCAACCCGACTAGGGTCTTCTTGGAGCCATTCTGAACTATAATACCTAAAATAAAAGAAATAGCACTTTAAAAATATAATCATAAAGCTAAAGATTAATTTTGGAAGAGTTTATAAGGATATTAGCAAAATCATTACCTTGGATTTAATGAATGCGCCAAACAATGAAGTGGTGTGCTACTTTTAGTCCATCGCTCTAATAAAATGCGATACACTGCATCAAAAAAGCTGCTTTTTTCATGTAATGCCTTGCGCTCATTCCTGTAGATAGCAGCTTTCACCTTTTCAATCATAGCATCCCACCACTCATACACCAAATGAAGACAAGGTTTATCTGTGTCAGCCATTCTAATAACCTCATATATTGGAGCTGTAAAGAAAAGAATATAATCAATCTTCTCCCAAAAGTACTCATCCAATATTTTTTGCTTCACCGTCATTGCTTTAACCAAATCATCTTCTTTGTACAAAGCCCAATTCGGGCTAATCACCATTTGTTGTAAACCTTCCTTTACTTCCTTAAATCTTCTAAGCATCACAAGTGTGGAAGCAAATCTGAAAAATTTAATAATTAGGATAGCTCATAATTGAATAAGAAAAAAAAAGGAAAAGAAGTGGAGAAAACAAACCTTGTTTCGGCAATGGAGAGCAACTTTAGTTTGCAATGTTCATTAAACATAGACAATCTCATGCTATGGTTCATAATAAAATTTTTTATGGACCAAACATCACTTGCAATAGTTGAAATCCAATTGCAGTCATCATACGAAACATCTGTTTGTTTCGGAGAGCATATACTCTTCAAAGCAAGATTAAGAGTGTGAACAACACAGGGTGTCCAAAAGATATGGGGATAGTGGGCCTCAATAAGTAACCCAGCAGCTCTACAGACAGGAGCATTGTCAGTGATCACTTGAACAACATTTTCATGACCAATTTCTTTAATAGCTTCTGTAAGGAAGTTGGCAATACAATACTTGTCTTTATATTCACCTTCACAATTAATTGCCCTCAAGAACATAGGCCCACTTTCACAAGTTGCCATAATATTAATAAGTGGTCTCCTTTGTGCATCTGTCCACCCATCACTGCACAAACTTACACCTTTAGTGCTCCATGTGCGCTTGATTGGCTGGAGGCATTGCTCAATGTGACTCTTCTCTTGTTGCAGAAGAGTAGTTCTTAGTGCATTGTAACCTGGTGGAACATACCCTGGAAGTGTAGAAGCTCGAACATATGAGTTTCGATAATGCGAATTTCTTGCAAGGTTAAATGATAAGCCACCTGTATAAAATATCCTTGCGACTTCAGCATCACATTGATCTCGAGCTTCCTTGTTAAAAGCTTTACTAAGAGGCCCACTTGTTCCTTTTCTCTTCTTTGGATCAAGATTCACTTCAGGTTGATCATAACAAAAAGAACCAGTGTTGGGCAAAGAAACATTCTTTGGAGCAGAACTCTTCAGCTTATATTCACACTCCCGAATTAACTTTTTCATTTATGCAAGATTTTCATCAGTAACCTTGCTGCAAGGTGTGACCCCGTTTCCAGCCATTTTTAACAAATGAAACCTGACCCTAGAGTATGATCCTTTGTAAGTTTTCTGACAATAATTGCATTTGAATTCAGCATTCCCTCCTCCTTTTTTTCCCACTTTTTCGAGCTTTTTGACATACTTCCACAACGGAGTATGATCATTTTCAACAATCTCATCCAGATTAGCATTATCATCCGGATTAGCAATATCATTTGCATGATTATTAGGGTGATTCATTTTCCTAAATCAACAAACGTATAAAAAGTAAGAGTTAATCCACTGTAAAGACAAAGTTATTATAATCTAAATATCCATACTACTACACAATAATATACTATAATATGCAAAATACAATAATATTATAATAATAGAAAAAGTTAAAAACAGAAAAGCAAAGTTGTCATATTTGAATTGACTATGCGGGTAGGAATGGATGGGTATGTAGTGGGTAATATAATATTATATTCTTTTCCTAGGGAATCAGATTGTCTTCCTGGGTATTTTTAAATTATCATCTTCGAATGGGTAGTCTTCCAATGGCTATTTTTAAATTATTGTCTTCGAATGGGTAGAATAGAATCAGTAAAGCTGAGAGACTGGGGAAAAAACAACTAAAGCTCACCGGGTTAAGACTCACCAGGAGTTGCAGACAGACGAAGGAGACGACGGAGCAGTTGTAGACGAAGAAGAGGGAGACGACGGCGCAGTTGCAGATGGAGAGAAGTTTCACGGAACAGTTGCAGATGACGGATTCGTGAAAGTCTCCAAGCAGAGTGATTTCTGTGAGAGGTAAATCCGAATTTTATTTTTTTTCTGATTATCCTTTGATTTTAGAGTGATTTCAGTTAACTAAGTTCGATCAATCACGATTCTATGCGGATTTTTTGTGATTTTTTTTCTGATTATCCTCCTATTTCAGTTTCAAATGTATCCGAAAAGTAGGATACACGTATCTGGACAATACGATACGCGTATCTCATCAGTCCCAAACGTATCCTTTCACTCCAATACGTATCGAACGCGTATCCGCCCGTATCCTCAGCGTATCCGTATCCTCAGCATGTCAGATACGGGATACGGTTGCTTTCTCGCGTGTCCATGCATCATAGGCGCGCACACACTGCATGGAGTTGCAGGTTTTTTCATTCCTTCATTGCCACAATAGATTGAGATTGAACCCCAATAGAAGCGCGCAAACACACATTACACGGAGTTGCAGGTTTTTTCATTCCTTCATTGCCACAACAGATTAGATTGAACCCCAATAGAAGCAACAATGTATACATTCTATCGAATGCAGTTCCCGTACGAAGAAAGTCGAGAACAATCAATCTTAAGTTGAAGGCACCACAATCATAGAGAGATTAGCAGGTAAAATCTCAAGTTAATTTCAAATAAGAAAGTAGATATATAACTAAAGTAGCTAGATAGTGGAACATTAAGACAAACAAATAATTAACAACTGAATTCATTTCTAAGTGAAATATAAAACAGTAGTTAAGGACAGAAACTTACGTTGTTGAGCCAAAAGTTAGCTGCTACCAACGAAATGAACAGCACTGCATCTACGAAACAACATCAAGGCGGCTCAAATGATAACAATATCTAACCTCTTTTGACCAACGAACATCATACATCCTGGATTCCAACTTTTCCTTGATACACACTCAATAACTGAGGTACTTCATTTATATATCTGGCTACAAACCTCTCCAAGAAGCACTTTTCCACAGGCTCTAACAAAGAACTTAAACTCACATTTTCAATCCCCTTTATCAATCCTCTCAACAACAAAACTTTAGCAACCGAACACCTTGGAACCAATCTCTTCTCCAAACTGTAACTGAGGACCAGTGGCCGTTTTGCAATCATTTTTTAAGACCACCCCATCTCGTTCACTAAAAAATCCATTGCTAGCATTAGTTTGTTCTCCGACATAGTCATACAGCGCGGGTTCCGCCTAAAAGCAGAGAGAACATCATCCTCAGACCAACCCCACCTCTTATAAAGTTGGCGACTTCGATTCCATACAGACCTATTGTTACCACACAATGCGTATATTGCGATTACCGAATTTGATTTTTGCAGATTAAAACCCATTTGCTTAACCTCATCCACAAGTTCACCAAGCTCTTTAGGCTTTCGCATAAAAACCTTGGGGTGATAAGCAAGCAACACAGAAATGCAGGATTGGGGAATACCAGAATCTCTCAAAACCTCAATATTTGGCGCCACCTTCTTGGAGTGGCCTTCAGTGAAAATCCACGAGCCGCACCTTAAAACGGAAACGACATTTTTCTGAGAAAGCAGACTCCTAAGGAAATCATAAGTGGGTGCAATCCGTTTCTCCAAGCTCGTAAACAAAAGATTTGGTTCATATGCGAGAGTTTTTGCAAGGTCCCCCTCTGAAAGTCCAAGAGAAGCGAAAAACTCAAGCTTTGGCAAAAGGGTTTTCTCCGGATTGGAGTTAAGAACTGGAGAGTGCTTCCTGACGATATAGGAGATCTGGGTCTCAGAGAATCCATTGTTTTAAGGAAGGACAAAACGGAGTCTGCTGTTTTGGGGGATCCCAACTTGACCCACTTAGACGCTGAAATCGCACCTTCTGGGGATAGCCCACATGAATTTATGAGGTAATTGACTGTGAAATCATGGTGGGTTTCTGAGATTTCTGAGGTGAAGTGTCTCAAGAGTAGCAGATTTTGAAGAGGAAAATGTGAGGGTTTTACATCTCCAACGACAAATCGTTTAAATTTGGAAGCAACTATGCAGGAAGATGGAGAATAACACAATCTGAGGGTAACGACTTTCAATTTGGAAAGCAATACCATCGTTTCAGTTAATAATATTAGATGATCAATTTCAAATTTTGAACCGGAAATGGCCCCAAAAAACCCTACCAGTCTTCCGCTCATTGGGTTTTTGGTTTTAAGCATATTTCAATTTCATTTCTTTTTCCTTTGGAGTTTAATAGAGTTTAGTTTTTAGTTGTGGAATTTATTTAATTATTATTTCCAACTATTTGTTATTATATATATATATATATGTTGTAGCCTATTTTATCTGACAAGGTTAAGGGGCCTGCGGTAAGGAGAAGAGAGATTGAGAGAGATGTGTTTGTAGAATTGTAGGGAAATGTGTGTGTTATCCTTCCTACACAGTGCCTTTATTTATAATAGTGAAAGGAGAAAAGGAATTTTTTCATTCCCAAGGAATACAAGTTGTAATAGGAAATGATAACTAGAATCAAATCTAATATAGGATTTACACAATCACACTTAAACTAGGAAAGTTTACAACACTCCCCCTTGAGTGTGTAAATACTCAAGGTAGATTTAGCATCATGCAAAAGTTGAGGAAGTCGACTCATCGGCAGTAATTCTAAGGAACAACACTTATTCTCAATAAGGTAGGAACTTGCATAAGTAATAAGTCTCACTAAAACAACCCTAAGGCTATGACAAAAACACGAGTATGAACAAAATCCATAGTCTAAGGAAAAATGTGTGAGAAATGCAAAGTAAAAAGAAACGTCTACAAGACGTCATCAAGGATATAACCAGCCCAAGGTGGATGCCTCGTTAAAACCTAGTTAGGTAGCAAAAACCCAGTGGGAAAAATGCTCCTAATCGTAGGGAAAAAGTGTACATTAAGATTAAGCAAGTATCTTCAGGATACTCCCCCTGAGTTCAACACAATTCCAAAGAGAAATAGTAATGTTACAACTTAAAAAGTTTACGCGTACCAATTCCATGAACAAGCTTCTGAAACGTCGTCTTCAGCAGTGATTTGGTGAAGAGGTCAGCCAGATTATCTTGTGAACGGATTTGCGTGACTTCAATCTTCCGATGCTCTTGTTGTTGATGTGAAAAGAAGAACTTCGGTGTAATGTGGTTGGTGTTGTCTCCTTTGATGTAACCCTTCTTGAGTTGTTCGATGCATGCTGCGTTGTCTTCAAAGATTGTCTTCGGGATCTAGATCGTATGAGTTTCGAATATGGCTCACAACTGCTCACAACAAAAAGCATTCCCGAGTTGCTTCATGTAAGGCGAGAATTTCAGCATGGTCGGACGAAGTGGCAACTAAGGTCTGTTTAGTTGACCTTTAAGAGATTGCGGTGCCTTCAACGGTAAAGACATAACCCCTTTGAGAATGCGCCTTGTGCGGATCAGACAAGTATCCTACGTCAGCATAACCAACAAGGCGAGAATCGACTCAAGAAGTAGGGGGAACGGCATCACTTGAGGATCCGTAGGGATAGAACAAGCCCAAATCCGTAGTACCCTTAAGGTAATGGAAAATGTCTTTCACACCATTCCAGTGTTTGTGTGTAGGTGTATTATTGTATCTTACCAAAAGATTAACAGCGAATGAGATATCGGGTCTAGTGCATTGAGCTAAGTATAATAAAGTGTATATCGCACTTGGATAAGGAACTTCAGGCTCCAAAATCTCTTTATCATCCTCATTCGAACGGAAGGGATCTCGTTTTGCATCGCGATCGAACGACCATAAGAGTACTTTAAGGTTTCCCCTTTATCCTCATTAAAGCGGCGTAACACCTTCTGGGTGTAGTTCAATTGATGTACTAGGATTCCCTTCGAACAATGCTCTATCTTGAGACCGAGATAGTATCGAGTCTTACTTAGATCTTTTATCTCAAATTCCGACTTCAGGTGCACGACAGTTCTCGCGAGCTTTTCAAGAGTTCCGATGAGATTCATGTCATCGACATATACTGCAACAATTGCAAATCTGGAATGTGACTTCTTAATGAACACACTAGGGCATAGTTCATTGTTCACATATCTATGACTAGTCAAATACTCACTCAGACGGTTATATCACATTCTTCCGGATTACTTCAAACCATAGAGTGAATGCCTCAACCAAATTGAGAGCGTGTTCCGGGGTTTGGAAATATTTTAACCAGTCAATGTAAGTCATTCGGGAACTTTCATATAAATTTCCGTATCAAGATCCTCATAGAGATATGTAGTTACTACGTCCATCAGTTGCATAATCAGTTTTTCGGAAACTACCAAACTAATAAGATAGCGAAAAGTAATCACATCTATAACGGGGTGAATAAGTTTCGTCATAGTCAATCCCCAGGCGTTGTGAAAAGCCTTGTGCAACAAGACGAGCTTTGTAACGCACAATTTTGTTCTTCTCATTACGCTTCAGAACAAAAACCCATTTGTAGCCAACGAGCTTTACATGTGGAGGAGTAAGAGCTACAAGTTCAAACACCTTACGTTTCACAAGTGAATCGAGTTCGACTTGGATTGCTTGTTTCCAGTTTGACTAATTAGTTCTACGTCAAAATTCATCAATGAAACGTAGTTCAATGTCATCGCTCAACATGATCTCAATAGTTATTGCAAATGCTAATGCATCGTCGACAATCATCTTATTTCTACGCCACACATCATCTAAGCTAGCATAATAGACCGAAATCTCACGATTTTCAGGAGGAGGATTTGTTTCTTCAAGGACGCTTTCATAATCTAGAATTTCTTCATGAGTTGGGTAGAATGAGTAAACGATAATCGGATTCACGGTAGGCTCTTCGAGACCTTGTGTTGTGCATTTCCTCTTCCGGGGGTGTGAATCCTTTGAACCAATAGGTTTACCATGCTTTTGTGTAGGGGCAGATGATTGGCTGGCCGCTTTTGTGTAGGGGCAAATGATTGGCTAGCCACTAATGTACTTGGATCACCAAGATTGGTGCCTCGGGCTTCCAGGAAGGAAGCTCGTTGTACATTTGGTACATCCACCTTTGCAGGCATATTCGCAGCTGGAATATGTGATATTGTCACTTGCGCTAGATCAGTGAAAGCATCTGGCATACTCTGAGCTATGCTCTGGAGATCTAATATGCATTGCACTTCAGTTTCAGACTGAGCGGTGCGGGATCTAAATGAGACAAAGTGGGGGTCGTCCACGATAATTCATGTCGTTCTTATCTCCCCTAATGACGGGAAGACTGTCTCATAGAAGTCAAAATCCGTGAAACGAACGGTAAACAGATCGTCTGTCAAAGGTTCTAAGTAACAAATAATCGAAGGAGAATCATATCCGACATAGATTCCCATCTTTTGCTGATGCCCCATTTTTGTATGTAAGGGTGGCGAGATCGGTATATAGATCGCACAACAAAAAATGCGCAGATGTGATATGTCGGGTTTATATCCGGTAACCAACTGAATGACGCTATATGGTTGTGTCGCAATAGGCCTCAGGCAGACTAACTTTTTCGCGTGCAATTTTGCATGGCCCCAAGCAACGATTGGGAGCTTGGTACGTATGACCAACAATCAAGCAATCATTTGTAAGCGCTTAATGAAAGCCTCTGCTAGGCCATTCTGGGTGTGAACATGAGGTACGGGATGTTCAACTTCAACCCGAACCGACATGCAATAGTCATTAAAATTTTGATATGTATATTCTCCAGCATTATCCAATCAAATAGATATGATCGGATAATCAGGGTGGTGAGCCCTGAGCTTGATAACCTAAGCCAACAATTTGGAGAATGCAGCGTTCCTTTTAGACAACAAGCACACGTGTGACCAACGTGTGGAAACGTCAACCAAAACCATAAAGTATCTAAATGGTCCGCATAGAGGGTGAATCGGTCCACAAATGTCCCCTGAATCCGTTGTAGAAAAATGGGAGGATTCAAACAAATCTTGTCATAAGAAGGCTTAGTAATAAGCTTTCCCATTGAACATGTTTGACATGTGATTCCTTGGATTGAACCTAAGCTTCAGGTTAGTGGATGCCCGTGTGATGATTTGAGGATTCGGCGCATCGTTATTCATCCAGGATGTCCTAAACGATCATGCAAAAGTGTAATTTTATGCGCGGTCCCAGTAGTAGGGCTGGCCACATAGTGGCATTCTATGGGGCGTATGGTCGTAGTATACAGACCACTCAAGATACACTTCATCTTCTCTAGAATACGCTTCTGGCCATATTCGTAGGAAATTATGCACAGAAATTCAACTTCGTTTTCTACGTGGGTTTCAACATGGTAATTGTTATCTCTAATGTCCTTGAAACTTAACAACGTCCTTCCAGAACATGGAGATTAGAGTGTCTTAACAATGGTCAAGATTGTACCATTGGACAACATTATGTGCGCCTTACCGTATGCTTTTATCAGGTTAGATGGTCCTAAGAGGGTTGTCTGAGGTGCATTCTTAGGTATGAAGTTATTGAAATAGATGCGTTCACGCAAAATGGTGTGCGTGGTTGCATTATCTGCCAGAAACTAACTTCCCCACTAGTCATACCTAGAATGAAAAATTAATTCGAATCGGTCGCATGCATAAAAGTTCTAAAAACAAATTTCAATTCAAAATAATTTCATTTATTCAAGGATGGTAATTAATTAAAACTTAATATCCAAAAACAAATCACCAACAAATATTCCAAACATAAAGGAAAATTGTTCAAAAAGCAACCAAAAAACAAAGGAGG